ACTGTTTTCTTCCATTTTTTCTTAGGAATGCTCCCCCTGTTGAACTCTATGGATTACATTTCTGGCTCTTTAGCGGTTGGTGTTGCAGTATAATGTGTTCCAAAGTGCCTTAAGCTTTCTGGTGTATGCTCTTCACACTTCAGTTCTGGCTGGAATAATTATACCACTTACCTGTAACAGTAGCTTGTGTATCTCTGATTTTAAAGATGCTTTAATTTTATCAGCTATAACAAGTAAACCTGTTGTGCCTAATTTAAAAAAAAAAAGAACATCAGATGTTAAAAAGGTTAATTCAAACTGAAACAATTTTCAGTGCAGTTCCATCTTCCATTTAGGAGCTAGTGAAAAATAAAGGAGCAAGGCAAGACAAACAGATAAATTATTGTGAAAGCAAAACAGCAAAAAGAAAAAAAGGAGAATAAAGGTTATTAAATTTTGAATAAAGAAAATTCAGTAAATGTGTGAGTACATGGAGACACTTTTTTGTCTGACCATTTTTGCTTCTTCATAGACTAATATCTCTAGCATATATATGTAACTGCGTGTTTGACACAAAGCTGTTAAAAAAAAAATTTACCAGTCCTTAACACTGTAAGTACGCCATTAGTTTAGAAACTCACACTAAAAGAGATACAGTCATTATCCATCACAGTAGATGGGATCTACTTCTCYGGTGGTCCAGCAGGGAGTACAGTTGAACAAATGCTACCTGCTCCTGAAGGAAATCTCCAGTGCCGAAAAGCTCCCAGTGGCGCCACTGCAGTCCGGGGCAAGCAACAGGCCCCTGTAGACGTTCAGGTGAGGTTTTTGCAGTTAATATTGCTTTGAATACTAGCAACATCCTCTGTGAATTTCAAAGTTGTTTAGAAGTGAAAATTTAACCTTGTAACATCATTTTATGAGGTAATAGTTGTTTAAGTAATTCATCAGATTATTACATAAGAAATCTATGGCTAAATTGAAATCAGATCTCTTGTAGTCTGCATGTGAAGACATCATTCACCAAGCTATACTTCTTTTCTGGAAGGACAGTTAATTCATTAATTCATTAATCCACTGAAGTACTTATAATCATTTAAGAAAAGCTCCATATTCTCTCTGCAAATCATAGTGAGTACAATGCAACGATGCATAGCAGCTATTTCAAAATGCTGCTTATGGCACTGCTGTTTGTTATGCATATCAAAGGAAAGCAGGCAGTGCAAAGGTCGAAAGGAGCAGATTGTAGAGAGCAAAACTTGTCCTTCAGGCAGTGAAGGTCAGGACACATAATGGAGTAGTCACACCAACCCTCCTAGGGGACATGCATTTGACACACATTCTGGTGCTATTTTCTGGTCCGTCATGGAGTTATACAAAGCACYGTGCATAGTTAAGAGACTGCCTTTTGCCTAGCTTCCAAAAGAGAGAGAAAAGATGCAGTCACAAAGATCATTATACTTAAATTTCATGTGTGTGATTAAGAGTGGGCCATCTACAAGCACAAGCTCAAATAGCTGAGCAACCCTAACATTGAGGAGTCTTCTTTGACCTYATCCTATTAAACTTAATTATATTTACAAATAATTCTCTGCCCTCCAGCAATGCCGTGTGCCRTTGGTAGAGAACTGTGTGAAGTGTGGCACACTGCTATCACAGGGAAGTGACTGAGAAATACTGGGAACCAGTACATACCAATACTGATGTAGGAACAACTCTGTCATCGATGGAGTCACAGACTCCTTTGATCCATCTGCTGTCTGATTACAGACCTTTCCTTTCTGCGCAGCAGTGGGTAAACTACATCAGGCCGTACAGTGATGTTCAAAAGTAAGAAATTCCACCTCCGGTTCCCCATATCTTGCTCTAGTCTGTTCAAAAGAAAGTTTTTTCAGGTTCCGTTTATCAGGTCCTACCTTATATTTGAACAGATACCCCCGAAGCTGTGTCCGTCCTTTCTCTTGGGCAGGTAACATTTCGGCCATCCTGCAACACTCTTGAAAAAGCCACAGCAAAGCTACTTACACACCCCTTGTAAGGGATTCAAGAAGCTGGCAAGGTTTTCTCCCTCTTTTGCCTTTGCACAATCCTCCAGTCTCATGGCCAAGCATTACAGCTGTCATTTGCACAGCATGCAACTTCACTGTTGAGAGATTTGGCAGGGAATGGTAGCACGTGTGTAATGGTGAGCGCCCATGTGCTCATCCAAATAGCCTTGRCTTGGGCTCAGCGCTCTGAAATAGGTAGTCGTCAGAGTGGATGTCAGTCTGTCTGGGGCTTAAGTAGCCTGCTGAAACGGGGCTCATGTTACGTACCAGCAGTTGTTCTCTGTAGAGCACCCCGGAGGTAACTTCTAGATGAAGTAACTAAGTCTGTGGTTATAGTAATTAGATGGTTTTTGTTTTAATAGCAAGAAAATAGTGTTTGTACATTAAAAACATTGCTTTGGTAGAAAAAGGCATATATTAAAATTAACAGACATCACCAAGCTTGAGAAAGGGTTATTATAAAAATAGAACTGGACTCTAAACCTTAACTTGGAGCCTCTTTTTTTTTTTTTTTTTTCTTTCAAAGAAACTGAGACATGAAAATGGCATTTTTAGCCAGTAACACATACATTTAGATTCCTGGGTTTAGGTTTTGGAAAAAATGCACCTAGTTGTTTTCTCATTACAATACTGCTGGTTTAGTTCACTGATCCATGTTTTTCTTGGAATGTGGCAATACGGAATGTTTTAAATTAGGGGGTTTTAATTTTTACCATTTCAGTGTCTACTAAGTAAGTCCATGATCTAATTCTAAAATTGTGAAGCAGCAAACATACACTTGTAGCCAGCAATACATATATATTTTTACTCCAGAGAAATGATTTTCTGTTCTAAATTTACTGCAGAAAGTTTCAGAGACAAAAGAAAGGCTCATTGCCAAACCCRGATTTGCTTCTTTATAATAATACTTTAGGTCTCTTGAAATATCTTAACTAAATATTGTAAGCTACTGAGAAGTTTCCATCAAGGCTATAATCAGTAATAGCAGTTGCGAAACTTCAGCTGATACAAAATAAGAATCTTCTGCATGCAGTTGTTTAAAATGAAACTGTAGAACAAATGAAGGCATTAGATTGGATGCAAATATTACTCAAATTCAGATTTTTACTCTAATTACAAACAGTTTTTGAAATATGAGYCCTGAATTATATTAAAGCAATATAGGCTATAATCCCTGCTACTGCAGCCCACTGCATATTTTACCACCCACCACAACAATCACTATTGTCTGCTGAATGCACATGCTGTCCAGAATGTGCACTGATGGGCACATGAACAGTGATGAAAGAACCTCGAGGTTTGGATTTGAGGTTTGGTTCAAATAAGAAACTTAATGTTGGAATTATAATTTAATACTTATTGGAAGCCCTGGAAGGTTATCCATATGATTCTTTCGCTTGAAGTCATAAYGGTTTACTATGTGATTGAGACATTGAGCTGGGTTCAGCTCCCAGGTCCGCTATGCAGTTGAGCAAGTTACTTCATCTTTTGAGAGATCCCTAATCCTAAACTAAGGAGTAATACCACATTGTTTCACTGTCCTTTGTCTTATTCTATGTCTATATTGCAGAATGTTTGAGCAGGAACTGTCTCTTTCTCTATGTAGAAGCAGTGTACAGAATTTGACTCCCAGTCTCAGCAGACTCTTTCAGGTATCACTGTAAATACTATTAGCCATCCCTAATAGCTGCTGCTTTTCAGAATGAAAAAAAATGCCCCACTCCTCATCCTTTTTTTTTTTCTTTTTTTCCCCCTCAGTAGTTTTGGATTGTACAGCTTGCTGTCTTTCCAGAAGGCAAGAAACTAAAATTTGAATTTCCAGTATAACTCTTTAGGAAGACTTCTGACAAATAAACTTTGCTTAGTGCAGACTGCAAACGGTGTGTTAAATGCTTGCCTGGTTGTTTCAGAGCCCACGCACCAGGACTCCCCCTGTCTGCCTTTACAGGTGAGCCAGAACAACCCGGAGAGTTTTGTGGGTTTATTTCCTTTGAAAGAGCTGGTTACACTGAAAAGAAAACTTAAGATCAATTACGGTTTGATTTAAGTGTTCTTTGATTGCCATTGGTAGTGGTTTTAGAGAGCAGGAACCAGAACTACCGTTTTAGAAACAGTTTATCTGGGCAGAGAAAAATATTTGCTGGCTGTGAAGTAGGGACATTGTTTCCCCGTGTTTTAGAAGCCTTTAGTCAAAACGGATTCTTATTGTTATGAAAAAAGGAAATTATTCCCCATCTAGTCTTTTAGAAAACAGTGAATTAGGTATTGTCTTGGAGACCAAAGACTTGCACATACCAGACTCCACCGAGTATGTCTTTGAGTTGCCCCTCCTGCTCATCTCTTACCAATTTTCCTCAAGTAAGAGTTAGTGGTAGTTTACTTGGAGACCTCCAGTCACTTCTAGTTATGGAATAAGTTCTGAGCACTTGCATAGAAGATAGGTCTTGTGTAGGTAATATGATGTGATTTTCTTCAGAACTGGCCTTGGTGCACTTACTTTCAGGGTGATGGGAAGTAAATTAATTTTATGGATAACATATCTTATATTTATTTTCATCTAGTAAGGACCAAGCAAATCATCAACATTCAGTTGGGCTGAGAGCCCAACTGTGGGTAAGAGACTGAAGTGTCATCTACAGCTATGGTTACCTTATTTTGAAATACAGAATATGATAGATGAGAAGTTCTGCCCTTGGAAAGCCCATGCAAAAACCTTCTCAACAAGAAAAGTTCTCATATAGAAAATCCTCATTAGTTATTTTTCCTCTCCAAGCACCTCTATGCGGTCACCTGTCCCTCTCTTTGCTGCTTCAACAGTGTTGTATTTGTAGACAGAGAAAGATAAGATATAAGAGTTTAGTTTGGTTTTGACATAGAGTAAGACTATAGTCTTACTTAGATCGTTAGGAACAACTAAAGTCTGATAGGTTATAAGTTCTGTGAGTTAAATCTGCCTGCTTTCTCTGTTTATAGGACTGCTGTTACTTTGCGCTGCTTTGATTGGATTTGTTACTAGTAAGACTTCTGTTGCATGACTGATGTGTGGAACTTGGAAAATGAAATGAACAGGTAGGATAGTTCGGTCCTTTATACTGCAATACCTAGTCAGCTCGGGCAATGAGGAACAGCTGCAGAATAGGCACAATTTAAAAAAAAAAAAGACAATAAAATGTCACATTGCTATAGTATTAACTGATATTTTCATGTGTGCATACACTGGAAATTGTGCCAAAATACTCCCTTCTGTGAACATTAAGTCTTCCAAAAACTTTTAAATATCTGAGTGTAAGCTAATTTTCACTGATGTTCTGTTTTGGGAGACAAGGTTTTTCAGCACACACACCAAAATGCCCCACTTGGAAGAAAATAGAAATGAAAATGAAATGAAAACTGAAAACAACTATTCACATTTTATTTTTAATAGCGCTTACAGTAGTTGATGGTTTTCCTCCACAAAATGAGTTATTCTTTCTTTTATAAGCCTATTCCCAAAAGGGCACTACACAGATATTCATGTTCAGTATTATATTTTCCTTAGACCACTTCTTACATATCCCTACTTCTGTCAGAAATGCCATTTGCAAATAGGATGGGAAGGATTTTTAAAGAACAATGTGAAACTAACACCCACACTCAGACTCACAGTTTGCATTCTTATAATTTATTGTTGTATCAAATAAATGTGTCTTTCATAAAGGCACTGCTCTTTCTTTATGAAGCAAAGAAGCGTGGAAATTTTTTTAACCAAACACTTCTCAGTGTTCCTTTCCTGTGGTAGCACTAGTAGTTACTTGAATGGTCATTTTCAGTGAGGCTTCATCACTGCTGAGGCTTGCTCTCAGTACAGTGCATGGAAAGGGACTTCCAGCTCTGAACTGGGTGCCACGTAGAGAGGCTTCTCCGCCCGAGCTGTGAAGTGCAGCTCAGTAAATGTCTTGCTGTCTGGACACTGATTAGATTGCAGTACTGGTAAAGTTGAAAAATCCCATTACTAAATGAGAGCCTTCATTGCAGTTTCAATCCATAAGCAGTGATAGCCATAAAGTGGAGGAAAGAGTGATAGTACTGTGGAAAACATGGTAGAGATCTTTTCACTGATAAATACACAGTTTCAGAAGTCTAAGAATGCGCACTCRTGTGTGCTTAGTTTTTCCTGCTCGACGCTAGTGTGGCAGCTGAAGGATGTCACACGTGAGCCTGCGTGCCAGAGGTGAGCCGCCTAATTCTGATACTAAGCTCAGTTCCACTGATGGCGAGGTAACATAGGCACAGGGAGGACAGGAAATTTGCTATGCCCTGAATAACGAGCCAAAGAAAACATGAAATTCGGACTTTGCTGCTCACTGGTTTAGGGCACTTTGCCTGGGATGTGCAAAAACACTACCAGATTCCAGTTCTTCTTCAATTTAATAAATAATTCTGCAAAATTGAATGGAAGACTTGTCTTGGCAGGTGAGGAAAGGGTTTCCTCACTGCATTTCTGAGAAACTGATACTCCTAAGTACGCAGCTTCAGATGAAACAAAACAGAGCTGGGAGCTTTTCTTTCTGAGGGTTGAGACTGCAGGCATGGCTCTTCTTGAGCATTTTACAGTTGTCTGGACCGTTTCTGCACCTCTCCTTCCTTAATTGAATTAGCATAATGCCATTTTAAATTAATGTTCCTTGGTATTTAATTAAGCCCTTGCACTGTATCCTAAACTTCATGTTTGTGCTTAGCTTGGTACTGCTGTAATGATAGAAAGTCTACTACCCAGCAAAGTACTTAAAAGAATTATGTTAAGATATAAAAAAGTCACAATCCTAAATTTAATTTGTGATTCTCCCTGTGAATATTTTCTTTGATCTGGACATGTCAGTTAGTATTTGGCACTTGCATATATGTTAAAGTACAGTGTAGCTAACCCAAATACTTTTTCAGTGTCTGCTGTGCTAAACAATGCAGATGCACACAAAAAAATAGTTCACCTCTAAACAAACTTCCCATATGTATGTAGAAGGAAGATGATGCGAGTGCCTGTACTGCCTATGTCATAGTTAAATTTGCTGGGAAAAAAAAACCCCAAAACCTAGCTCCTTTTTTCTTACTGGAGTTATGCACCTAAGTCACTATAGAATCACAGCATTTTTTAAATATTTCTTAATTAGCAGTGTGGCTGACATACCGCTGTTTCCTTTTTCAGATTTCAGTGGCAAATAATTCACACGCAGTACATGTGTGTTTAATGTTTTATATTGTAATTACAATTGAGGCTATAGCGTTGAGATAACTTCATTAGTTAAATGTATCAGTATAACATGCACACACACGAAATTCACTTACAGTACTGTCTTTGTATTACTCTAGTTTTATTTCTAAAATGTAAGTAGTGCAAAGGAGGAAGCTGTGTTAACATGTACTCACCAGATTGTTTTTGGTCTCAAGAATTTCACATTTTGAAGGGTCATCTTGGACTGCAGCTTGTGGTTTTTCCTACAAGGCCTGGGGTCCATTTTTCCAAGGCTGAGGTTCTTGTGCTAGAGACAGACACAGCAGGGAGGTGTGGGCTAAGAAGCAGCTCTCTTTCTGCTGCTGCTGCTCCAGGGATGATCTGCCTCTTCCCTCACCTCCTGAGAGGCCCTACAAACCCTGCTGCGGAAGGGAGCATTCCCTTGAGCAGCAAGTGCTCTCCCTATCTGGTGCTGGTTCTTTGGTACCTGGAATGACAGGAAGGAGCAGGCACTTGAGCAGCTGATGATATGTGCACAGCTGGACTCAGTTTTTAAGGCTATTTCTGCTTTATAGCCACTGATAGGGCTCAGTAGCCAATTTAATTCACACTAAGAATAGTATGTTTTTTTAGGGAAGGTGGGTTACAGGTTTATGGCGCCCTATGTCTTGTGACAGATGCAAAATGGTCTTTCTTTTCTCCTGCCTTCTAAGTCAGTTTAAGTCCAGCTCTGACTCCCTTATCAAAAGTCATAAAAGAAGAACCATGGTAAGAACTGTTTTATACTGGTATCAAACAAGTAATTCGTTAATTCATTCTTCTCTCATAAGAGAGAAGCCTCTCCTTCTTTGCCAGGCTTCTCATTATGACCTTCTCCACTTGTCTTATAGTAACATTTCTGTGACAGGAAATAAATAGCATTGGCTTTTCACAGAAGGTTACATTAGAGCTCTGCATGAGGAGCTCAGGCTCCTATTCTCCCCGCTAACCATCAAATATCTGAGTTATTTAAAAATTAAAATTTTTTAAAGTCTTTGCTAAGCTGAGAACTTTTCCCAGTAAGTTTGCAGCTGGAGCTAATTTTTACAGCCAAGTTACCAAACAAATTGAAAATATCAGGGGTTTGTAACAGAAAAGCTGATACCACCTAAAGTATAATGGAGCAGGCGTGCTGCTGTAATAATTCTTTTAAGCATGTTGAAACTAAGCAGTGTTAATTATTAATCAAAAGCAAAGTACCCATTTTAAACATTTTTTCAGGGAGATATGCTCATTTAATTTCCTGCAACTGTGTATTACTTTATTAGCAGCAACTGCCATTCAAAGCCAGCAGGCTTGTGAGGACACAGGCCTCTGCCTTCCGTTGTGTCGTTTCCGTCTTTGCCCGCCCCAACACAGTGTATTTACACAAGCTGCTGTGGGTTTTTTGCACTGCGGATAGTTCAGAAAATGAGCACCCCTGCCAGTACCATGTAGTACCATGCAAAGAACACCTAAGCACTGTTGCAAAGGTTACCCAAGAAATACATAATGGGCCAAAATCACACACCGTTTTTTTCAAACCCATGGATACCATTCAGCGTACTCTAAAGGCTGTTTTCTGCCAGAGTGTTACTACTCTTTAGCTTTTTTTTTTTTTTTTTTTGTGAAATATAGACAGCAATTGAAATTTATTTTGTATCTTGTCTACCTTTTCCTGAAGGAGTTGGGGAAAATCTTTTTGAAAAGGATAAGATAAAGAAGAGTGGTGAAAAAAAGCCCATTCATGGAATGAAAACTCTCATCAATAAAAGCTAACAATGGGCTTTAAAATCATACGCAGTCAGACGAAGGTTCTACAATGTATATTTAAAATGGTCTTATTTCAGTGTTCATCTGTGATCTTGATCATCAGTCTGGATATACTATTTTCTGTTCTTGCTACAACCGTAAGGTTGCTGTGAATTAATTGTATGCTTCTTTCAGGCCTCATTACAGTCTTTGACACAAGAATGACTTTTCACAGAAGTGAGTGCCAGGATGTTCTGGTACTCATTGAATATTCTCATTAATCCATTCTTAGGACAAAGACTAATGATAAAGAGTAAGTACAGATATTAATTATTTTATTTCTCATGGCAATCCTGGGGATGTAATRAGAATGGAATGATCACCCCTTTTTGGTTCTTACAGTAAGGTTTTTTTTACTGTAGAAAAATATTCAAAATTAATTTATTCTTGTAATTAAACTGCAATAAGACCAGAAGCTTAAAACACATCACATTAATTCATTCTGGTGCCAATTTTAAGGACCCAAACCTGTAAGTGCCAATTAGAGTGCACACAGCAGAGGATATAGGTCAGTGCAGAACAGAGCATCAGTTTTTTTTTTTTTTTTTTTTTGAAAATTATACATAGAAAATAAATAAAGAACAGCACAGCCCCAAGATAGTAACAAGAGGTAGTAACATTACATATTGTCTGTGTGTCAGCATTTCTGTTCATTTCCAATAGATCTCCAGCATGGGTAGTTGAGTGTTCTTTACAGTTATAAATGTCTTTCATAAATGTCCATATGGATGGATGAATCTCTCGAATGTTTGTAACAAGTCAGTGGATAGTTAGATTGTATCTAACCACACAATCAGTCTGGTTTTAAAAGACAGCTAATGCTATCACTGTTATTTTTGAGGCCTTAGCAGAGAATGAAATCCATAGAGCTTTCATGACAGATCCATTGTTGAGAAAAAAAGTGCTGGACACAGGACTAACTCCCTCACATAAATTTGGCATGACAATAAGGAAATAAAGGCTGCTCAAGTTGTTCAAAAGAGTACTAGCTCCTGGACACTCAACGATTTCCTCTGCTGGTCTTTCATTCATTTCAACTCCATGAATTTCTCTTAAGAATTAAGTTAAGAGGGCAAATTCTGATTTTCTCTTGTGTTCCATTGAAAAGCCATAATTATTTAAGCAGGAGGCTGGGAAGAGATGTAATCACAGAATTTCAAGTTCAGCAACATCTTCATCACAATTAAAACTTAAGGTTTTGGGGTTTTTTTTAATCGACGTAGGAAACAAAATGATAATGCATGGCCCATAACAGCCCAAACATCAGTTTGTACAAGCTAGGTATTTGCAGTGAGTACACTGAAGAAAGTTACACCTTGCAGCCAGAAAAGAGGTGGAGATTCATGAAATATTTTGTACAGCCCAATCTCCTAACTTAGTCCCCATGCTAGAATTTTCCCCAATATCTAAATAGTTTGAGCACCGAATTTCTTTTYCTGATGTTATTTCATTGATTACTGTTTGAAATGCCTTTCCTGGTATTATACCGTGTCTTTTCACATAATCTATAGCTAGTGAAAAACCCCATGGGATGGCATGAAGTAGCGTGCTTTCCCACAGGTCTGCAGCACTAGCTGGAGGCCGCSAGAGCACGGGAAAATGCGCCTTCGGGAGCTGGCAGAGAATTCACTGGGACAGGTAAAAGCTAACATTTTGCAACAGTAGATGCCAAAGACTATGAGAAACTTTTTTGTTTATAAGTAGTGTTTTAAATAAAAATTTCAAACTAGAAATTAAATTTTAAACAACGTAAGTGCCTCAGAGAACTAGGCTTTAAAGCAGTCCCTTAATGGGACTCCAGCATTGCTTTTATTTTTTAATGTGAACAAGAGAAAGGATTTGTCATTAAACTTTAAAAATAATCAAAGTAAGAATCCTTTTTGTTTTTGTGGGCAAATGGGCTGGCAGCGTTACCAAGAGCAATTGTTTTCACTTAGCCGGTGCCCATTGGTGGGGAGAACTTCCTTATGTGTAACAGGAGTGAGATCAAAATCTGAATTTAAGTTTGTCTTGGCTCTCCTGAAGTCTCTACTTTTTCAATCACTTATGCAGAACTTCATCTCTGAATTACCTGCTCTTTAACAGTAATGTCTTAACCACTGGTTTGTATATTGGTTGTTATGGACTCACTGCTTTTAAAATACAAAATAAAAACATGGCATGGAAGACCAACACTTGCTGTCATTCCTAGGCTTTCCTGAGAAGTTTAATAGTATAAGTAATGCTTTTTTTACACTAGGCAGTTACCCAGTTCAGTACAAACCTAGATAAAGTCTAAAGTGGCCATGTTCCTGTTCTGCTAGCCAAGCATCAAACTTCTGTACTCTGCAGAAGGCTGTGCAGAGAAGGGAAGATGTTACCCACTTGTTGCCTGCCGCCTTTTCAGCTTCCCTGGGTAGTGCAGTCACTGTACTATGTGAAACAGAACAGCACAGAAACAGAAGGCAAGGCAGTTCCCGCATTGAGGGAACAATGTCCATTCAGAGAGGAGGAAGCAAAGCCAGTCTGAGACCTGCAGGAGCAATCCTTAATGGTGAAGGCCCTAAATGTCAACATCAAAAGCTGGTCATAGAGGAGGGTGTATTTTAAACCAGGTTTAGGCCCTTCCGCTACCTATACGACAGTTATGAGAACAAAATGAAGATAAACGTGTTAGCAGTGCTTGATCTGTACAGGACTTAATATATGCTGATCAGCATCCGTATTTCCAACAGCAAAATCCTGCCTTTCTGGTCACCATTGGTGGACCTGTTCTCACAATATTGCTGCTTAGTGAAGTTGTTCTGAAGCTGAATCTGTGAGTGAATGCACTGTGGTGTACCCAGTGCATAGTTCTCATAAATTTAGCACACAGGAATTTATTTCAGCAGCTACAGCTTTCAGTAGTTCATCAGTTTTGTTTTGCAGGAGTGTAATTTACCTTTCAGGCACCAAATGCTTACAGTACAGGACTTGTACTGAAACAAAACTAGTACTGTAGCAGCAGTGGGGGGAAAACTATATTTATTCCAAATTTTTTTCAAGTATTTCAGTGAGGATAGATACTGCTGAATGCTTCTAGAGCAATATTAACATTTGAGTTACACAAAGTTTCAGTAATACAGTTCTAATTATATAATACAATGATGCCTTCTCCATTGTTACTCTCTTGAAATAGAGAAAAGGAAAGGCTTGAAATGATTTAATACTGTCGGATTTTTAGGTCTCATGGAAAAAAAAATAGTGGCCTAAAATTAAATAAATCATTAAACCTCAGAGATAGTATTATCTGTTAGAAATAGCTATAAATTAGTCCTTTCAGTTCTTAAAAGTGAAGAGATTTGTGATTTTGTTTGGTTTATCAGCTAACTTCCAGGAGGAAGAAAATAGTTCATTACTGGAAATTGTACCTTTCATAAGCATAGAGAATTTGGCCAGGTTTCCTCTCTGTGTATTAGCTTCTTTATACAATATGGACCAGCCTGGGTTTGTTGAAATTAGTGAAATTTTTGACATTGATTTCAGGATGAATAGCCAGTGCTATTCATCTAAGCAGAGAAAACGAAGGAAAAGGCAGTCTACCTCTTACACACAGTACTGTTTAGATCAAATGCTGTGTGCTTCAGGGGTGCATTTCCTGATGTTCTCTTCATGCCTGCTACATTTCTGTTCACAATAACTGGCTTCTTCAATAGGCAATTTTACAAACACACTTGTGTGTTAGAGAGGAAATCTAATACTAACCATGGAATGCTGTCAATAATTGAGTAAATCAAAGAACTTTTTATGGAATTTTATAAAAAAGAAATCTATTCAGGTAAGCTGACAAGTCCAAATAGGAATAGGAAACCCTAACTAAGGGCGTATGTTATCAATCATGACCTGCTACCCCTGCTGGGATTGGGAGAGAATTTCCAGCACAAAATGAATTCAAACCAGTTCACAGGGCTTCTTAAAGTAAAGCTAAAAAGGGAAGCCAAAATGTTGACAGCTTTATTGAAGCATATAACTCAAAATAAGCACCAGTGTATTTTTAAAGACTTCAGGACTTCTTCTAATATGAATCTGATTCCATTTAAGATAGCATCAAACTGTCCTAAATAATACTACTTCATAGTAAAATGGGGTACATGTTGATACTTTCATCAGAATGAGCTATTTTGTTGACTGGGCTAAAAGTTTTTCTTAGTAAGTACTCCACCAATACATGCCAGGTTTCAATAGTGTTTCATCCATATTGCAGTGAGCCATGATATTACAGTGCTCACGGTCATCTAAGAACCTACGTAATTATGAAAAGGCAGCGTTATGTCTTGTATAAAACAGTACAGCTTACAGTGTTATGCTTCTCTGATTCTGTGTACACCCCATTCTATGAAAACTGATTTTTTCCCAAATAAATACAACTGTAAAGACTGAATACAACAGAGATACTTACGATTACTTTCTTTCCATGGTGTGCCATATGTGTGTGGTATATGTACATATATATTTATACACACACACACTTGCATCCCTCCCCCACACACACATATGTAAAGGTCTTTTCATCTTTCACTATAAGTCTCAAATATTTGGTAGAGCCCTAAGAAGCATTTCTGTGGCCGTGCAAGGACAAAGTCACTGTTGTACGGCCTTTCTGCTGTATCCATCTGTGGTTGAGGGGTGGAGGAGAGGCCCTGGAGCTGTGGCTCTGCATAGTCCCTCTTATGTCTGTTTCTTTTGTGTTCAACTTGCCAGAAATTTAATTTTAAAATGTGCTTCAATCACCATCCATCTCTATCAAGCAAGTGTCATGACAGTACATTTACATTACAGTTAATTAATTTCAAGCACATAGTAGTAATACAGTGAAATACAAAATATATGAAAGATGCTTTATTGCCACAACAATGTGACAAGTTAATGTAATTCTTATTTCATCATGGAAAGTTAAGAATATCTGCTGTCCCACCTGTATGGAACAGATCACATTCTAAAATCTGGATTTATTGCCAAAATTTAGTATCCTAGCATCCTGTTCAGTAAGGAGGAGTGATTCTCCCTTCCGCATTACTGCTTTTAGAGTATTACAATGTAGTGAGTCCTCAGAATACTACTGGAGTGAAAGGAAAGTCATTTCTTAATAAACACGAAAGTATAAAGTATCTCAACTAGGTTATTTTATTAGAGGTCCCCAGA